TTTTCTGACGTTTGACCAAATAGTGAAATGACTTTATAGAATGAACTGAAATTCCTGGATTTTAATTGGGACCCACACATTATTATTTTAATTTGTGGGACATTTGACAAATAGGACTGTCCTTCATACAAATCTTCCCAACAAGGATAACCAATGGAAATGAGGAAAAATAATAATTATTGTAATATTTATTTACAAGGAGTAATCTATATTTATACGAGATAAATGTCAAAAACATACTTAAATTATTTAATTTTTTTGAGTTTCATATTTAAATTATTGAAAGTGTGAGTTTCATATCGAAATTATCACTTTTTAGTTTGAAACACACGCTTCAATGGTGTGTCATACATTCTCTCTTTTATATGAAAAAACTTTAACACATCACATTCTACATAGATAAAATATTTTATCTTGATAAAAATTAAATAATAAAAATTTAATGTTAATTAAAAATTAAAGATTATAATCCATATAAAAATTAAAATTCTCATAACTTTTTTGTCCCTTCCATTTAATTACAACATACTAATTAAAGTAAATTAATTATATTCATTACCTAGTTAGATGAAAATTTAAGTAAAAGAAAATGAGATTTTTGTTACTTAGTTATGAAATGTTATTCGTCACTAATTTCTTTTTGTTATAACTTGTCTTCAGAATCAAAAGTGTCGCTCATTAGTGAGTACTACTTTATTGCCTTTCAAAATTAAAAATTCCATATTATATATATATATTCAATTACATACTTATATATATATAATTTTTTAAAAAAAACCATGGATAAGCTAGCACTTAGGTATAACATATGTTAGGAAGCTTTGGATTATAAAATGAATTTAGTAGAGGAAAACTGATGTGAGTGCATGGATGGGTATGTGACACATTTCTAGGATTTCAAAACCTAAAGGGTGATAGTTTATGTCCTCATTTTCTTCTTTTGGGGTCAATGTCTAAACCCCACAAGCCACGACGTTAGAAAATATAATAAAAAGTCTTTTTGTAAGGATTAATTTTCAAGTCCTCTTTTGTGACGAATTTTTATGTCTTTTTTGTAGTTTGTAGAGACTAATTTTCACCTCTTACTTTTTCTTTTTCTAAAACTTTATGTTCTATCACTTTCTTTTTTCATGGCGCGTTAAAAAATAAGTTAAAAGGTGTTTGAATTGATTTAGAAGTTAATTAAATTTTGATTTTTAAAAATGTTTGATAAATTTAAGAAATAATAACTTAAAATTAGTTGAAAGTGACTTAAATTAATTAGAAAGTGTTTGACAATGTCAAAAGTGACTTAAAATAAATCAAAAACTAAAAGAATGTTTACCCTAACTTTTTATTTTTAGATTTAAAAGCTATTTCAATTTGTTTTTTAATTTTTAACTTAAAAATATTTTTGTAAAGTCAATTCAAATGAGCTAGTCCAATGTGTGAAATTTTAAAATCTATATGGATTAACTAAAATAGATCAATTTAATCCATTTTGGCAGTTGCCTACAAAGTTGATACGTGTCTTTATTTCATTCTTTAATTTTTGGATCGGTGTCTAAACCCCACAAGCCGACATCGTGGAGCTTGAAAATAAAATAAAATAAAAATAAGCAGTGTTATAGTGACTAATTTTCATGTCTTCTTTGAGTTACTAATTTTCATGTCTTTTTGTAGTAACTAATTTTGATGTCTTCTTCTAATAGTGTCTAATTTTCATGTCTTCTTGTAGTGTCTAACTTTTATGTCTTCTTGTAGTGACTAATTTTCATGTCTTTTTTTTTTCAAACTTTATTTTCTGCCTCTTCTTCACATGGCCCTTCAAAAATGATGAATTAGTCTAATCTAGTCTGTTAAATTTAGTACTAAAAAGTATTAGTTATATCTCTATTAGTTAGGTTGAGATTTTCTTTATATAGTGTTTAGATTACACTTTGTTTATATCATTATTACTCATTATTTTAATAATATGCATGACATAGTTTAGAAAAAATATATTTATACCCTCCGCAATATTTATGATGAGAATGATTTTGAGAGGCCATTATGTCTTAAATTATACTAATATATATATATATATATAATAAAATCATTTGTATTACTAATATCATAAATTTTTATCGTACACATTAAAGTTTATACATAAATTTAAAAATATTAATTAAGATATGAATAATACATAAAGTTAATATAAAACAAAAAAATGTATGGTGCTTATGAAGGGGTTTGAACCAAGAACAACTTAATTCAAATGAATAATATATTTTATCACAATATTAAAAGTATAACTCTTGTTAATATTGTTCAACTTTAAACACAGATCATCAATGAGATACGTAGAATTTCTCATCAACGGTATCACCTTTTAAAATGAGAATCGGTATATATATATCTTAAAATATTTACAACTCTTTTTTTGGAGTTATCTTTTTTTTTTTAATAAAATCATTAAAAATAATAAGTACTACTAATGTGAGAAAGAAGGAACAAAAACCACATAGGAATAATTGTATTAAAATGATGTTATACAAGTTTGAACACATGATCTAAGCTGTTGCACTTATTAAAGAAAAAAGCTTAAAAAATAAATTAAGATCTATAGTTTGCTATAATTACCACTCGCAACTAATATTATACATTAATTATGTGGGCTGACTTCGAGTTTGTATAATTAGTCATGTTCGTATATTTATAATTCGTCAGGATATACAAATAAATATATATTTAGCCTATATGCATATACAATTCATTTCTCTCTCACTCTCTACCCTCTCTCGCTCAGATCTCTCCTCCCTCTCCAAATCTCGCTCGCCTCTCTCCTCCCTCCCTCAATCTCGCTTGCCATTTATACAAATATATATGTATATATACATTTATATACAATTATATACATATATAATTCACCTCTCTCCCACTCTCTTCCCTCTCTCACTCGCCTCTCTCCTCCCTCTCCCAATCTCTCTTGTCATATATACTTACATATGTATATTATACAATTATCTAACTAATATACATATACAATTCATCTTTCTCCCACTCTTTCCCTCTCTCTCTCGCCTCTCTCCTCTCTCTCTTAGTCTCGCTGGTCTTTCCTCCATTCATAACATGTAGCTACAAATTGTAATTAGTCAAACTATAGCTATGGAGAGTAATTAATTATTTTCAAATGGCTATATGTGAAAGTTTCCCTATAAACAAATACCACTTTCTAGTTTTTCCCTTTTAGATATTCTCAAATTACGCATTAAAATTTAGATTATTTAATGTAAAATTATAAATATGAGCAATTAATCCTCTGAAATCATCACCTAGAAGATAGTAATAAGGGGCAATCCAAGAAAAAAATAAGAAATTTTCGCATATAACCAGTCAAAAAATAACTAAATTATGATTCATAAATATGATTTGTTACTTATGATTCGTAGCTACATGTTAGAGGGAGGAGAGAGACAAGCGAGAGAAGACAAATAATGAAGAGAGGCGAATTGTATCTGTATATCTATCAAATAATTATATACATATTTAATTGATATACATATGTATCTATATATTTGGCAAGGAAGATTGTGAGAGGGAGGATAAAGACAACCGAGATTGGGAGATGGAGGAAAGAGGTAGGTTTAATTGAGAAAGAGATGAGATAGGCGAACGAGAAAGGACATAGAGTGGAGAAAGGTTAATTGCATTTGTATATTTGTTATATAATTTTTTGTGTGTGTGCGCGTGCGTGTGTATAAAAGAAGATACGCGACGTAATTACAACTAAAATTAAGTCTCGAGTCGTAATTCATTCATACTATAGTATATTAGATATGAAACACAAAAAAGAGATAATTTAGATGCGGTTTCAACACTTACCTCATTAAATAATCAAGGAAGAATGACCTAGGAGACCCTTATACTTGACTCTGTTTGTAGTTGGACCCTTATACTTGCAATTTATCAACTAAACCATAAACTAACTAAAACACAATATTTTAAAGGTTTCAATCATCTGCGGCCCCTCAAAGTTGTTCGCATAATTCAATTAGATATCTTAACTAGGACTATTACCTATTTAGTACTTTTATCTATCCAAAACTTCTTCCTATTAGACCTTTTTTTTTTTTTTATAATCTAGTAAAAAAGGTAAAGTGTATGTCATACACTTGCTATGATATGATAAAATAACTAATTAAAAGATGACATGTGTCACTTGACCCCAATAACTATAGATTTTTGTTAGGTTAAAAGAATGAAAATTATTTCAATTTTTTATATATATGTGTATCTTAATATAAAAATAAATGAAATGACAATCAATTTTACCACCCTATCCCAACCCCTTTTCTTCATCATTTTTTTCTCATCAATTATTTTTTTTCAAACCACAAAAATCTTCACTACAAATTACTTGTAGATTCGACTTTTTTTTTTAAAAAAAAATATTTTTTATTCTTAATACGTAGAAAGACAGATATTCAAAGAGATTAATAAAATAGTAATGTTTGTGAATGGTTGCTCATCCGAAAATTGATTGCAAAGAAAAATCTAGAGGACCCAAATTAGAATTATAAAAAATTATTCTTCATTCCTAATACATGATAGAGAAAAAGCTGGTACAAAAATGATGAATAAAACTTCTTTTGCCATATCAATATTTTGTGTTTAATAGATAATAAATAGTCAAACGTTGAAAATATCTAAATGCAATATGCAACAACTTTAAAAGACGGTGAATGACTTGAGTCTATTTTTGAATCATTTTCTCATCCTATGTGTGTGATACACTCGTTTAATTCTACATACAAACGGAGGCAAACTATAAGCGCCCTTTAGAAAATATTCTTTACCGTCTTCTTTATAATGAGTTCACGAATCCTCTGTTTTCTGTGATGTTCAGATCTTCCATGTTCCTATCACAGATGACTTTAGCTCTTCTATTGAACAATCCTTTCTCAAATCTAACAATAAATCCAACTTTTTTCTTCTTGTTGGAGGGGTTTAATGTAGAAATGCGACAGGATAATGGAGGATCTACCTATTAAAGGCGTTTTCATGTCAAGTTCGTAGCAAAATCTCAACGAAGTAGCAAAGTTGACATTTCATTACTATTATTACTCTATTCTATTGTGTATTTTCCGCTTTCAGCCTTTGCCTGTAGAATTTAACATAAGTTACTATTTCTTTGTTGAGATAATTAAAATATATTAGCAGTGTATGTGTTGGAGTTCAAGAAGTTATGTGGTTTCTCAAAAAAAAAAAATTAAAAAAAAGAAAAGATCTACTCTATTTTATTGTGTATTTCTCTGAATGTTTGTTCAAGTATGATGGACATTCAGATGCTCTTGTAGGACACCAGATTCACTCGCTGCTTAACTGGGATATCTATGTGTACACATGAATCTCCATAGGTTATTAATTAACTGTCTAATATTTTGTGTAAGACAAAGATAAAGAGTTAACAGTATTAGAATCTTTATCTTCTAAAAGAAGAAGAGAGGGGTTATAAAATCAGAATATATTGCCTTCCACTCGGGTACAGCTTAGTTAGGTGAAGACTAATTGAAAATTATTTAGTTAGGTGGCTCAGTTAAAAGAATGTCTACACACCTACTTCTTATATATATATTATCTACAATCAAGTTTTTGACTTGTTTCACCAACTGCCTTCTAGACTACAAACCCTTTCTCTATGCAAATATTTTGCAAGTGTTCTTTTGAAGATATCTTATGATCCTCTTGGACCTTGGTTGTTACATAAAGAATCAAGCTGCAAAGTACCTGCCAATATAAAGTCATGATATACACCTAAGCATATATCAATGGTCCATCTTACTAAAACATATAGAACATTGTTCATAGGTAGATCTCTTCATATGGTTCTGAAGGCTATTCTTCTTTCTCTAATTTGTCTTCTTTGACTATTAGTTCATTTTTCGTCCACCAAAGACCTCTTAGACAGTTGAAGAATATTACAAGATTATAATCCTCAAAACAAAGGTAAGTTCTACTAGACTACTTCAATGAATTTCAATGTTCAAAATAAAAAGAAGTTTATTCATGACTCAAAGCTTCTTACCGAAAAATGATTTTCAATCCAAAAATTCTCAATCCTGTATTAAGGATTGATCCTCTTATCACACCTGGTGGTATTGTTATGATGTGAATGATGACCTACTTAAATGCTCGAATACCTAAAAGTTAGATAGATGTTTTGCTAGTGACTTGGATCGACGTATTTTGACTCTAGTATATTACTGGCCTTCCTTAATCAGAAATATGTCACAAGTGGAAGCCTCCTGTGCCAGGTAGCTTTAAACTGAATACAGATGGGGCTGTGAAAGAAAGCCCCGGACCAGGAGGCCTTGGAGGTGTTATCAGAACCATAGAGGTGACTCGATCATTGGCTTTTATCAGCAAAGAAGCCCATGTTAACTCAATCCTGGCAAGGTTCGTGCGCTAAGACAAGGTGTGCTTATGGCCATTGAATATAAGCTGAACCTAATAGACATCAACACAGACTCCATGGAACTGATCAATATGTTTGAACACGATAATCACCGCTTTACTAACTTAATCTTTGAATACAGGTTATTAATGGAGAAGCTGGGAGCAGCGATGCCAACAGACATATTTCGGGAGCAGAATAAAGTGTCAGACAAGCTTAGCCAGGAAGGTCTCTAGTGCAGTGCTTTCAGAGATCCAACCTTTTTGATAGTTCCTTCAATGGTGGAAGAACACGAAATTGAAGAAGGAGAAATTTATGATGATTCTCACATTAATTTATTGAAAATTCAAAAGGAAGAAAACGAAGTTGAAGGAGAAATATATGACGATTCTCATATAGACTTTGATGCTAAGATTCAAACTGTTTAGTGCAATTATATGAAAGAATTTGAAGGAGCTGTTTCTGCTGAGAATTTGGGGCAAAAAGCTGGTGTTAATGGTTCGTTTTGGCGAGTGATCAACTTGTAACTCAACCACAAATATCTCAAAAACTCCCTACCCCTCTTTCTTCTCACAAACCCATTAGGATTAGGATTAAGTTTCGGTCTTCTGATAATACTGCTGCTCCGAAGAGTCTGAGAAGACACACTGCCCAGAGCTGACTTCTGGGGATAAGCCACAAGTTGTTCCTTTCATTATACAAGGAGATTCGATTTGCTGTTGTACATGTCGGAAGTGGAGGCTTCTGCATATGGTATAAAACCCCATCAATTGACTCAGAGTTGGGCTCTGTACTATGTTAGACTGGCTTCCTGGCATGAATTGTTGTAACATTAGTGAGGACCATACAACAAAAGCTCTACATTTCCTGTACCAAAGTCTCATTCAAAGTAACTTCCAAAATCGTGGTGCTAAGGGTTCGGTTGATGTAAAAGCATATAACGGAAGGGAAGTTTCAGTAAAGAAAAGAAAATCGAGGAAACAAGACTATATAGGTAATCAATTGGGTGAAAGTGATGCCAATGCTTTTGAGAGGAAATTCAGAAAACAGAAGAAGTCTAAGGCGATTCAGACCGAAGAAAAAAAATCCAGTAGAAGCAAGGGTGAAGGGAAATCAAGAAGGAGAGATACAGGATTCAAAGATTCTGCTCATATATAGAGAGAACACAAGACAAACAAGTATAGAGTAAGCATCAGTCTCAAGCAGAATCTGGCATGATCCGCAAACCAGTTTACAAGGCCATTGGATATGGGAAGGTTGCAAGGCCCTACATTGCAATTTAGTAGAGGAATTACTGTATTAGCTGTCATTGGTTCTTTTTTCTTGTTTTCTGTTAAATTTGTTTATATGTTGAAAGTATATGAAAAATAAGCAACTGATTCTGCTTCACAAATTTACTTTATGTACTTTGAAGATTACTTAAAGGCTTCTAATCCCAATTGTATACCCTTAGCTACTATATTAATTAAATATCCCACTTCTAGGAACCAGGAACCTTTCTTTTGAGTATAATTATCTCGTAATATTCTTAACTGTCTAACAGTCTAAGAGGTCTTAAGTGGACGAAATACGAACTAGTAATCAAAGAAGACAAATTAGAGAAAAAAAATTGCCTCGAGAACAATATGAAGAGAAAACCTAAGAATGGTGTTCTGTATGCTTTAGTACGATGCACAAATTGATAAATCCTTAATTGTGTATCATAACTATCTATTGGCAGGTACTTTGCAGCTTGACAAATCCTAGTCATGATTCTGTAGGTAGCAACTAAGGTCCAAGAGGATCATATGATATCTTCAAAAATCACTTGCAAAATATTTGCATAGAGAAAGGTTGATAGTTTAGAGGCAGTTGGTGAAACAAGAAAAGTCAAAAACTTGATTTTACATAATACAAAAACTAGCAAAAACTTGCAAGAACAAACTTTGATGGACTAAGCTAATTGACCTACCTAAATAAATAATTTCCATCAATTTTGAACATTCGCAAGAAAGTACTCATAGCAAGCATTGTGACTCGAGGCTTTACTGGCCATCAGAAACAAGTAGAATATGATAAATCACACCACAAAGGAAGAAAATATCTGGACTTAAAGAGAGAAGATAGCATACCCGTGGTGCAATTACAATAACACAGAAGAGAATTCTCAAGCTCTTCCAGAAAAATTAGATTGAGAATCATGAGGTCTCAAGTAGAAATTCCAGAGGAGGCAAAACCATTTTATAACTTTGACCATAATTAAGATAAGTGGACAGAGTTAGCCATGAGGAGCACGCATGCTGGAGCAGAATGGGAGACAAACTACTCTGATTTTAGAACCTCTTCTCTTTTTTTTGGAGATAAAGATTCTAATACTACAACTCCTATCTTTCTCTTATCACAAAATGTTTGATAGTTAGTCAACCATGCACAATGTTTTTGCAAAACCATGTATCACAGATCCCAGTGAAGCACAGAGTGAACCTGGTATCCTACAAGAGTGTCCATAATACTTAAACAAACATTAAACTAAGAAGCCTCTTCATCAATCAATTTATTTTTCCCTTGCTAATCAAACTGTCTGAACTGATTTCCTTCTAAATTGGTTAATGATAAATATCAAAAATCTATTCTAATCATCAATTGATCCAGTAAATAAAGTTTTTCTTAGGAGATGCCAAATACCTTTGTGCTATAGTCCTAACAAAGCCTATATCAAAAAATAATTTACAAGACGACAGTCAGGATACCATTATATTCTTATACCAAATTCTATTATGGAAATATGAGGCAATTATAACACCTATCCGTCCAGGTATATCACTATCTTTAATCCATCCACCTTCAACTGCAGAGTAAATACTCAAATTTTTCTGTGTATGTATATATACACAAACACGCACACACTCAGAGATTTAAACATACATAACAAGGACAAAATTGGTAGCACATAGCTCAAATGCAAAGAATAATACATCGGCATTGACAAACCTCAAAACTGCTTCAACTCCAACACATCTAGTGCTACACAAAGTTGAACACTGCTATATATTTTCATTTTCTCCCATAAATTGGAATCCAGCGCGTCTGCCACATACGTTTTTACCAACAGCACTCACCCACAATGTGTTTAGCATAATATCAAATTCAATAGCATAGGCTCAAAAGCGGAAGCAAATAATTCTCAATCCAATATGTAGTAGAATAATGGTAATGAAATGTCTACCTGCTCTACTTCTTCGGTTTTGCATTAATCTGGTACGAACTCAAGATGAAAAAGGAAACGCCCAATAAGCCTTTGATAACTCGATCTTCCATTATCCTGTCACAGATGACTCTCGTCCTACCACATAGAATTCAAATTAAAGAAAGTGTGGTTCCATAAATGGGCGAAAGTCATCTGCGACAGGACTACCGGAAGATGTGAACATCAAAGGCGTCGGAGCGATTCGGAGGAACCTGAAAACTTGCCGGAAGAGAATTTGTAGGGTCAGTAAAGACGATTTGTGAGCTACAAGAAATAGAAGAGTAAAACGCACTTTATACTGAATAAAGTAAAAAACAATAACGCCTCTTTTTCTTTCACTTCTTTTGCTTCTCTTTTTCTTTTTGCAACTTCAAATTTCTACTAGCAAGTTTAGATTATGCCAAAGTAGTCATTTTTTATTCCCTAATATTCACGTGAATTAGTGATTGATAAAATTCATAACTAAACAATAATAATTTTTCTTTGTTCATTTCATTTAGATATGGATTTGTGATGAATTGATTAAAATTAGAGGAACTTTCACGTATAGTCACTCAAAAATAGTTTAATTACTCTTCATAGTTACAGTTTGATAATTACAATCTGTAACTACATGTTATAGAGAAGAGACAGGCAAGCGAGACTGGGAGAGAGAGGAGAGAGGGCAAAGAGAGGGGGAGAGGTGCATTGTATATGTATATTGGTTATATAATTGTATATTATACATATGTATTTGTATATATGGCAAGAGAGATTGGGAGAGGGAGGAGAGAGGAGAGAGAGATTGGGAGAGTGGCGGCAATACTGGGAAAGGGAGGAAGAGAAGAACGAGATTGGGAGAGAGACGAGCGAGAGAGGGCAAAGAGTGGGAGAGAGGTAAATTGTTTATGTATATCGGTTAGATAATTGTATATTATAACATGTATTTGTTTATTCTGACTAATTATACAAACTCGAAGTCAGGCCACATAATTAATGTATAATATTAGTCGCGAGTGTTAATTATAGCAAACTATAGCTATGATGAATATTTAAGTAGTATAAGTTTGCTTCACCGCGTAATTGTCCCTTAAAATTACCATAAATTTCATAGCTAATTCCATAATGGGCAACTTTCACATATATCAAACATAAAATTCATATTTGTATGTTATAGCAAAATTTGCATAATTATGTTCTGTATAATTCGCTATACATATACAATTGAAGTGAATTGTATAAAACGAAGTGTATACAACGAGAAAGAGAAAGAGAATTGTATAAAACGAATTGTATAATTATAAGTGTATATGACGATTAAATACAATTTGAATTTGTATAAAATGAGAAAGAGAGAAAAGCAAAAGAGACTTGGGCGAGGAATATACAATTGAATCGAACTGTGTAAAACGAGAAAGAGAGAAATTATATACAATTTGAATTTGTATAAAACGAGAAACAGAGAAAGGCAAAAGAGACTTGGGCAGGCTAGTACTTTTATTGTATAATTATAGGTGTATAGGACAAAAATATATGTACTTGCGTGTGTATATACAATTTTCTCTCACTTTATACAATTAAAAACACAATTTATACAATTCTATTGTATAAAGCGAGAGAGGCAAGCGAGAGAGGGAGAGTGGCGAGCGAGAATATGAGGGAGAAATGGACTGATAAACAGTTTGCTATGGAACACAGATAAATCAAACGGTAACTAGTATATTTATTTTATATTATTAGTTTGTCATTCTATATAATTATTCCTTCAATAATAGGTAAACAATAAAAATTTCATATTAATCTTATTTAGCTACAAATTAGCAATGGATCAACCGAAAATTACTCATAAATTCCATAGCTAACTCTATATTTTCTAATAGTGAATATTCATCTAACAAGGGATGATACAGTGAAATCTTAAGAACATTGGAATGACAATTAGTTAATTGATTTCCTTTCGTACGTATCGTTCAAACTTTATCAAATGTAAGGGAGAAAAGTTATAAGAATTTTAACAATAAGATGTAGTGCAGAAGGAGAAACGAAGTATCAATCTTCGATCCATACATTTTGATGTAAGTTGGAATAAAGATAAGATTAGCGCATGACCATAGTATAAATTATATATAAGATCATAAATCGAATGACTTGAAGCACCTATGTACAATTGAAAAATTAAAACAATAGTGTTATATAGCACATGAACTCCTGTCATAAAAAAGTAGAGAGCCGATATATTATTAATCACTGGACTTTATATAATTGGTAGCATAACATCAATACATAATCTTATTATAAACATCTGAGCTTCTAGTACTTGGATGATGAGTATTAGAACCTAAAGATAAGTAAATTAAAAATCGGAGATAGTACCAACCACTCGTGAGAGGAGTTAGGTTTCTGTATGTTGTACCATAAGCTATAACGTAGAGAACATAATATTTTTCATGGAAAGTTTCCTTTTCTCAAACGATATAAAAACCACGACCTATGTTATGTATGATTTTAGCAATCAAATTTCACTAAATTCAAGAGAGATTTCATATTACAAAGGATGATTTAAAGGAAAGTCTCCAAGAGGATCAACTTTCTTCTTGTTACAAACCTCACAACTTCAATTTAGGATTTATTATAATTCAATAATAGCCTAGAACAATATCAATTACATCATAAAGAAAAGACATGACTTTGTTGTAGTGTTGAACTTGATTCTTGAATATCTTTGTCTATCATCAAAACTTCATACTTTTGAATTTGTGCATTCCATTAATTCAAAATAACAAACATAAATACTGCAGGTTCAAATCATCTCCTTTTTGTTTCCTCTGAGATAAGGAAAAAAGGCGCAACCCCTGTGAAAAAAATAAAAATTAAAACATCATTTAAATGAATACAAGTGCAACATTTGAAGTTGTAACAAAATTACTTAAATCTGCAGAAATCGAATGTTGGTTTGATTCCTTGAACAATAAAAAGTCCATCTTCATTAATGTCGCAGATGACTTTCGCGTATTTCACTAAGTGAATTGGAAGAAAGTAATATCCTGTATAAACACCATCCATATAAATCATTAGCAAGGTAGACAATACAAATTCGATATCATCATCAAGAATTGTAGCGTCTGCATGGATGAAATTTTTGGAATTTACTTCCTTCCATCCACCTTCACCTTCAATTCTAATTATGC